GCATACATAGGGTTCCAAGGATAAGGTCAGACTGCGACATCGCTGAAAGAAGTCTCATTCAGGACATGCATTCGTCCTAACCGGTAGAAAGGTCTTTAAAGTTACGTAAAACAACTTCAACAACAAGTCTTGTAGTCCTGGCTGGGTCCTGAAAAACAAAATATGAAATCTTTCACATCAGAGCAATTCCTCCGGTTTGTCTTCATATAACTTTCCACAAATAGTTTTGTTCGCAACATTTTAAAAAGTAGGTTTAGAAAAGCCGCACTTTATGTCCAGTGGCCTTGGCTGAGCGCGGGTCTCACCATATAGTTTGAAAATTTTGTCCAAAGTATCCACACAATCTACGTGGGGTCTCAGAAACAGTATGGGTTTTTCAGCTGAGATTTCCTGCTGTCAGTGAAGCCGATGTTTTCTGAAAAGCCGAGAAGCACTGTACGGCTATTTCATCCTTATTCGGAATCATCAGCAGTGCGCACCTCATGAATCTCAGAGAGTTTCGAACTCACGATATTCCAGTTTGGCTACCAACGGCAGTCTCGCTTGGACAGGATATAGCACCTTTGATATGGAGCCAAAGCAACTAATGAATATGGAACACATTTACATACTGATATATATATATATATATATATATATAATACATGAAGCTNAACATACAGGTTGTAATCACATGATTCTGAAATGGTCTCGTCAGGCAAATACGCATAGAAACTATCACTACCACTGACAGCGTAATGTCAGTGTTCAACCCTGATGCTTGACTGCCACATGAAATAATTATAAAGTGTATATATGTGAATATATAGTTTAAATATATAAATGGTCTAAAAGAAAAGAAAAATGAAGTGCAATTGGCCGACATAGTCAGTCAGTGAAATCGTTCCACAATTTGGGAAGCCAGTGAAGAATCACTGCTAGAGATATTTCAACCCAGGGGATTAGCGGTTGTCGTAGTTGCATTGCAATGGCTTCGGCTGTAACAACTGCACGGAATCGCATGTCAACATACGATGGATCAGAACGAGAAATTCTGCTGGGTTAATCCAATGGTTAGTATCAATCAGTTGGGCTCGAATTGCACTAGTCACGTGGTTTGGTCTTCCAGGACTTGGAATAACGTGTTGGAATATAGGTACCTCGGGTGCATTATTTGGTAATTAGGCAGGTGGCTGTTGATCAGTTCACGGAGCTTGGCAACTGATTTGCAAGCGTTTCGTCACCATTCTTCTGTGCACCGAAGATGTCTACGCAAACGTTTGCTTGGTGAACAGATCAACAGCCACCTACTCAATTACCAGTTTGAAGCAAGCAAGTGAATAAATCGTGTTCTGAGATCGCGTGCCTCAATTTGGCGTTGAGCATTCTCGAGACAGTGCAATCCGTTCTCAGATGTGCGGCATTAGATGCTTCTTGAGAAAAATGGTCAGCAAATGGGGAAACATTTCAGCAAACTTATTATTTACGTAGGGTGTTGGGAAGCTTATTGGCTTTCTTTCTGCTTATGTGGTTTTATATAATTGCCTGATCGTCTAATATGTCGCAACACAAGTTTCTTCAGATAGCCTTCCTAATGTGCGTTTTTGAAACGAGGCTCGATTCTGTCCCTATCGTGTCTCCAGTATACATTCTTCCATTCCTGGAAAAATTTCATTCATATATGAAGTCAGCAAAACCGTGGAAGACTATGTATTGAGCAGAGTAGCTGGTCTTACGGTATACTCGTCTTTGAAGATTGTCATCCTGTTCTCGCGTAAGCGCGACACTCAGAAAGTGAGGACAGTCGTTACCATCTCTTCCGTTTTAAACTGCATGCCACTTGTGCCGAATGAGAAGGTCGAAGTAGCTCCTAAGTGCACAGCCCACTACTACTCCACCTCTCTTTCTGCAGATAGTTCAATTGATTGAAAATCGTATGTGGAAAGCTCAACGTAAAAGAACTTCCTGAAAGCGGACTACATGGGGTGGATAGGATAAAGCCAGACTGGTTTTAAAACTCACAGAACATTAACAGGAACAAAGGCGACTGAAAGAGAAAACTATTATGATTTCTCATGAACTGATCACCCCGGACAGTATTCAGTACGCTCTGGTTTGCCTTGACAGAAAGGTCATGGCATTCTATTTGTCAGAATGGTATGATTGTCAAAAGTTATGCGAGAGAAAACTGGGAAGACGTAAATTTATACACTTGGACAGACATCAGCCCAAGCATCCGACCAGCCTACCAGCTGATTTCTGGAGAATCACATCAAACAAACAAGGTTTCTTGAGCAAATGTGGTTGATTACATTTCGGCAAACATTTATTGACGCATTGCGTTCGAATCATCGCCTATCTGTGACTAACATGTGTAAGGACAAACGTTATTCTGCAACGCACCGTGAATATTATATAGGATAAATTCGCTGCCCGATACGAAAAGATGGTCAACCAGACCATTATAGGCTCAATGCCAGCGGCTTAAACGCACATACATTTGACTGCGTCCAGCTAGTGAGGAGTTGATCCTACCGCATTTCTGCGAATTCTTCCACGTGTGTACGGTGTACTTCAATCAAATGACCGAAATTTTTTTATGAACGATGTGCGGTGGCAGCATGATAACTGAGAAGGTTTGTCCCACGATGTACGCCAAGGCCCTCTACCAGCAAAGTTGCACACGAACAAATGCTCCAGAGGGCTGTAGAGATAGAACTGGAGCTGGACGAAAACTTGAGTTAGAAAAAACCAGACGGCCCACAAGAACACGAATACATTCCCAGCACCACCAAATTGTCTGATATCCAAACTGCTGATGATTAAAGTTGCAAGAACCCATACATATACGATCGTTTGACCACAACAGCAATGTTAAAGAAAATCGGTGGGATGATTTGAAAGTCCAGGACACCGTCAATCATTTTTTTCAGAATGAGAATTACGCTGTAGGGAAGGGTGGACGGAAACAAGAGTGCCTCGCTCCCTCCAGGGAGGGATTTGGAAGACCATACTTTGGCACAAAAAGTAGCTAAAGTCTTGTTGCTCAAACTGTATATTGCCTTTAGTATGCATGTCACTCTGAGGTACTTCTTGATTCCACTATGAGATTCAACGCGAAATGAAGGCATCCTGAACGTAATGAGCTTCATTACTATTATTTGTAATCTGCCAACACCTTTGTTGTCGGTCAACCCTTTTAAAAAATAATATTTTAATTTCGGTTATGAGGTTGAACCAATGAAGTGACAAAAACACTGCAATGCTTGAAATGGAAGTGAAGTTGGTAGAGGGTCGAACATAAAACTACTTAGACGTTTCCAGAGTATCAGTCATTAAAATTTCCAAATATACGCCGGTTTTGAAGGCATCGCAAAGATGAACTCTTAAAAATTCTTAACTGTATGAGTGGCACTGATAGAGAGTATCTAAATATTAATGTAAATGAATCTTTGGAAACATATGCCAGCGACCAATGAACTCGCTGTTTTCAAACAATGGAGGTTAACGCTTTCATTTCCGGATCAGCCACAAATCACTGTTACGTACGATCCGGTTTTTCTGTAAACCAGTCCAATATCTTTCGATAGTATGGATGAACATCCAGTGTGCGAACCTTGGGACACCTATGGCGACAGGTTTCAAGTTCACACGGTACAGCGAAACGGTACTTGGTTGTGAAATCCGAAAGCTGGCTGTCGTACCGTTAACGTGCACCTTCAGAGCCTGTTCGCTAGTCCGCTGCGCACTTTAATCGATAAAATTACCGCGCAATTTCTCACTCCGCGAAACTGTTTTCTTTCGTGGTAAGGCACATTACCAAATTCGTCCGAACTGAATTTTATTAGCCTACATTCTTAAGTGCAAACGCTCAAGTCTTTGGTTCTATTCACAGTGTTCTCACGCGTCTTTAGGCACTGACGTGCTTAACTGATCTGATGACCCATTGGTATTTGAATCAGGCCCGATCATACCTGAATTAAGCCCTCCTGTGTATTCTTGATGTACGTGACCATTATTCCAACGCCTATCTTGATGCCATATAGTCATACAAGAATTTTTAGACTAATTTTTGCGCCTGATATATACCAGTGGATCACTTTTATATGTGTTAACCAGCGCAACTTGCGCTCGTTTTCGTAATACACTACTCATAAGGTTGCTGAAAACTCTTTAACAACCCACGACCCGTTTCGTCCGTGACCTCATCAGGTAGACGCAGTCCGCTTGATTCCGTCTACTTGAATCCGAATTGCACGAAATTAAAAGCACCAAAAAAGAGAGATTCAGCTGGGTTCCAGGCGAGTCTCCCGCAAAAGCGAATCGGTTTGTAAACGGGTGTATTCCGCTGCACTCATTTCCATTTAGCTTCATTCTCAAGTGCACATACATGCAGGAGATAAAGTCATAATCGGGCTGATCAACAAGAATTAGAATACATGCCACAATTTTTGTCTGAATGAGTGCTACTTCTCCTTGAAGGAGGTTTGGTATTTGTTGCTGGAAATAAGCCAAGATTGTGGTGCAGTATCGCTTACAGGATGGTTTGGGAAGTAGTGTATCCGTGGCTCGCCTGATGGCAATCATACGCTCACTTTAACATTTTACTTTGGAGCGGGCTACTCATAATCACTACTGAAAAGCATGTTTTTTTCCTGGCAGTCTGAACATCGTTATTCTGTTTTAGAATCTTCTGACAGATGAGCATTGTTTGGGAGTCCAAATACTTTTCAACAGTGTGAAAATGCAGTTGAATGCGCAGTGCAGCACACGAGTTTGGAATTCTTATTCATTCGTACCTAAGGCATGAGCATATTGTCTGACGTGTTGAAAATGAGCCTAGGTTCTGAACAAGCACCTCTGAAGCACTGAAAACCATGTGGTAGTCTCAGGTCTTGTGAGTGAATTTTACTCAACCTCCAGTTTTCGCAACTCCCTTCGGTCGTCAAAAGTAGATTTTGAAAATAAGTTACTGAAACATACATCAGTAGGCAACGCACAGTGCAAAAACCCGGCTTACTTCAAATCGGTCGTCATGCATTGGTCCACCGCTGAGCAAAAATAACCGGTCGCGCTCCGGATCACCTATCGATGTCTGATTCCGTTTCAAGCCATATTTTTGTCGCACTTCATCTTCGGAAAGTAGCGTAAAATTCATGTTGTAGACGGGCTTGGATTTCGGATGGCAACCCATATAGACTGTCACACTATGGTTCGTGATCTGCCAAACAGATAGGGCGACCAGACATTCAAAACAGCCACGAGCATTCCTGATCATAATTCTTTGAAATGGTAAGGAACAGATTGTTGGATTAATTATGGATGCTCGTAATTTGTCCGTGGGCCCAACGGACTGGTCTTCTCACTGTATGGAACTATTTCATGGAAAAAAGTTTTACCACAGTCTAGGGCAGCACCAATCAGGCTGAATTTCTTGCAGAATAAGAAAAACACTGCTACAAATAAGCAATGTCAATTTACTGTTAATGGACCGTAATCTAGTAACACATGTCAGAGAGCTTTTGCGGGGGTGGGGGGCTCGATTCGAGAAAAAACCCCATAATTACTGTATTTGAACTTACTTGAATAATGAGCCTAAGTGGTTTGGGGCCGTGAATTCGACGGTCCCTTGGTAACGGCACGACAACGAGACCGGATGTAGCCACAACTCCACCAGTATGATGTAGGAAAGCATTTTGTCTGTTTACGTTGATCTGATAGAACATTGTATGGTGTAACCACAGTTCCATTTGTTCCCCATGATTACCCCACTGGCTCAACCCAACCGCAAAACGTAGCCGACTTATTTCATCGACGCGAGAGAATAGCAAACTTCGCCCAGGATGGCGTCGAGAGAATGGGATGATGTGGATAAACAAGCTTGTCGGGAGGCTTGAGACTCGTCGAATAGGCCAGCCGGGCGATTGTGACGACATAGAAATAGGTTTAGGTGGAAAAATGTCTACGGAGAGTGGTTTGCAGTTTTCAAGGCAGTTGAATCCCACATTTGCTTGGATAGGATTGGTTAACTGCTGTCTCTGGGGCAATAAACCAGAGATCTCCCACACGGAATTGTCTGAAAATAGAATGTCAATCGAAAATGTGAAATGGAATTTGGCGGTCCCCTTCGCGATACATGTTGTGTTCTCGAACCGATGCAGAGGCTATGTTTATTGTAATGCCAACGTTCCTAAAAGCATGCTGTTGTCAGTCGTCAGTGAGATATATAGAGGAACTGACTTCCGTTGGAAATCTGATTACCGTTCACCAGAAGAACTTCCCAATAGAGCTGACAAAATGATGGTGAAACCAATGATCCTTCAAATTTATTTAGCCAAACCAAGAATTGATTTTATCTTTGGCCAAGTTAAAACATATTGGTGTTTATGTTAAAATGCAAACTGTCTTGTACCATTTGCCGGGTAAACATTTGTTCCAAGACAGTTGAGTTTTCGGGTGAACAGAACTGATCACATTGTCCCAATTTAGATGACCTCGGTGGACAACCGAAGTCCCGGGATCATATTACTGATCAGCACTGTGAACGACTTAATAAGTTTATATGAGCACTTAAATGGTCGTTTGAGTAACCTCAACCTTATCTTGGATTTGTTATCACCCATAGCTGTATAAATTAACTTACAGAGGAACCAAGGAGCAGACCAAGTGTCGGATATATCAAACGGTTTTACACAAACACAGCTTCACTACTGTAACAGAAAAATGTGTTCAGCCTTTGATTCAGTTCGTCACAGAAGGAAATACATTTATCCATCCTCTGCTCATCAACTTAACCTCATTACAGTGATGTGTGTATGCAAATTTTTCATGCTACTTTTAGGAATAGACACGTGTTTGATTTTGTTTAGAGACTAAGGCAGTCACAAGTACTTCTGAACGGGGATGCATTGTTTTTTGTCTTTTTAGTAGGATTTTAGAGACGTTTGGATAAAAGTTTCCTATGGAGGAGGATTTCACTCTTTGGCTGTGCTCCGTCAGGTTTCGAATGCGCAACTTTCACTAAGCAGAACATTCAACGCACTGGAATTTTGATGCAAACAGACACAGAGCTTCAATCTGTTCACTGATAGTACGGTTTAAATATTTAGCCACTTGATTAGGGGATTTTTCTGGTCATTAGATAGCTAGTAAAACGAAATGGTACAAATAGTTAGCCCGCTGTCTGCTCCAGTGATGTACAATGAGAGTTGTATTTCTGGAGTGAGCTTCACGGCATTCGACTCATCAGATAAGACTCTATTGATAGCACTTGCGCTCTTATCAGAACCACGGTTTTTTGGGATCTCTTAACAGTTGTCTCGATGGACTGGTGTTAAACATCGACAGTTTGCGATGGGCTGGGATCTACAGGCGCAACACACCACTGGTATAAATCCTCCGCTTCTGGTAAAGCAAAGCAAAGCGTGAACCTGTGATGTACTGTTTAATACTTGCAAGTTGCGCATCAGTCCACTATGGTTCACACCATGCCGGCACAACCCTCGAGCTTCTATGCAGAAGCCAAAAGACCCGGGGTGAAGAATCTTGCAACTCTACCAATAAAAGATATGAGGAAGCAGTTCCATGGGCTCATCTGTAAGATGAACAGCGTCACAGCTTGCAACATCCGTGCCGAGTGAATAGCATGGATAAATTCGTGTGGTCTGGTCCTAGTTCGAAACATACAGGAGAAGGCTTGACATGATTTCAAGTACAATTTTATGCGACATCATTCAACTTCTACTTGGTCCAAGTTTCTGCCTGAGGAAGTATTTTGATGTGCATGCCTGAACACGATCACATTATGGGGGTTGTGCTGCATTGTCCTTACTATACAGTTATTGCACTCAAACTTACGATTTCACTTCTGTCGTATTCGAGCCGATAAAAGACGTTCAATAAAATTCAGATATATGGAAACACAATTTTCGAGAAGAGCCAGCGAGTTTGGTGTAAGATTAAGAAACGGGTATTGGAAGACAAAAATTCACGACTTTTCATCAGTGCCATGCGGTTCGTTACAAGAGAAACTACAGGTGGGAGGTTGAACATACCTGAATCATTTTCTGCGATCTGTTCAGCATCGAAGTTGGACCTGATCAAATGGAATTGTCGAGACATAAAGTCATTATTAGGGAAACCATTCTAGTCACGTCACTTATGTTTGAAATTTGTGACATCTTATTTGTGTGAATCCAGATGAACGGGTAAAAGCTTGTGCCGAAATTTGTCGAATAAAAATCGCAATATTTAATGGCTTCACAACGCCAATGTTTGTGCATTTGTCTAAAACGCTTCAATGTCTTCTGGAAACCTCTATGTTGTAGAAGCTTGAATAACCCCGTAGTACTAAAGCCCTCACGTTTACTTCAGGTTGCACGTTAGATATATACCGGGAAGGAGCCACAACTGAAAGATTTTCATTGCTCATTCTTCCAAACAACCACAAGTGGGTTGCGTCTTGTCAAGCAGGTCATCTTCTTGAAAATAGTCCCAGAATGTTCAAAACCTACTGAGACACTCAGACCTCACCAAAATGTCAGCATCCGGACTAGAAAATCCAGTTTCCGACTGAACGCTCAAACAGTCAATCAATTCAACATCGGCCGATGAGTGTTCAGGCATGCCCAGGAGCACGGTCGTTGATGATGGGTGTTCAGGCAGTTTAGAGAGGAACGGCCGATGATAATGCGTGCTCACCAAATGTCGATCAGATCGCCTGGATAAATATCAAAAGTGACCTTTAAATACCGCGAGGTCACTTGTTACAACACTTCCGAAAGGGGGTTGATCTCGACCAAGGTGTCACCAGCTGTTCTGTACATAAAGCATTGGATATCAGTTTTATGAGTAGAACTCCAAGCTCCGGAAGTTGTCTCCGGGGTCTCGTACAGTCAGCGGCGACCTTGTGAGTAGCGTTCCCTCAAGAAAATATACTGGAATATCTCGAATGTCTCACTCACCGGAACATATCTTTATCTGTCTTTTTCACCTGTGCCCACTTGAAAGGCGAAAACAAGTAAGCTATCACCAGAACAGAGTTTTCTGGTTTTCATTTGCAGGTCTCGACCGAAAAAAAGCAATTATCGTTAGTTCTCCTTGCCCAGCAGTATATATCTGCGTTAGCGTCCATTTTCTACCTAATGATATGAGGCAGGAAATTTGTATAATGCCTAGTATGTGTGCACTTGCAATCCAGTGAACTTTTTAAGTAAATAGATTTCCCGCTGATTAAGAAACACAAGCAAAATAAGGATGTTTACTGGAATTACACAAAAGTTTAAATGCACTTTGGTGACGCGAAATGCTGTGTTTTGTTAGTACTCATTACCGGATTATTTGGGGAGCGAAATCACTCACCCAGACAAAGAAATTCAACAAAAGATTCTTTAAACGAGGGGCCGCCTGGTCCTTTAAATTAAAAAAAATCATGGAAGTAGGAAGATACTTGTAATGCACTACTCATAAGGTTGCTGAACATCCGTCGACAGCCCACGACCGGTGTCGCTCTTTTTGAGGCTCATCAGGTAGGCGCAGTCCCCGTCAACCTCATGTTCTGCTTGAAATCAAATTGCACGAAATTAGTGAATGTACACTCACTTGCAAACTAATTTGGTTTTTGAAGGACTCACCTGGAACCCAGCTAAATCTCTCATTTGTGATGTTTTCAGGCAGCTGAATATGCTTGGAAGATACTTGTAGGAAGCTACTCGTACATTATAACAAATACTATATATTGCAAGTGAAGTCAAACCATGCTGAAAGCTACAGAGTTATGTGCAGATTTTTCAAAGAGATTGGAACCCGCTCACTTTGAGTTCGTTTTTGAGGTTTCCGCCTTCCTGTCTGACAATGACTAACTCGCATTAAGACAAGACAGTGCTATTCAAATTATGTGGTCACACATCCGCCTTCCGTCAATACTACTGTCTCGGGTCTCATACCAGCTAAAACACGAGGCGTCTTTGTGCAGACTGACCTGCGATTCATCTGAGTCCGCCGGTATAACCAAACTAGTGAGCAAACGAATGTATTTCACAAAAATTGTACAATTTGAGTCTAAGTAGTACGTGGGGTTGACAGAAACTCGGGGCATGAATTTAACTCAGTAACTCAAAGAAAGGCAAACCGGTCGTCAGTTGTCGAGGGGCTGTCGGCATCCTTGTGACTAGTTTCCCCAACAAACAAAACTCTGGAATACTTAACATCGTACCACCTGGAAGCCGGTCGTTGTGCAGAACCTTTGGTTAAAGAATATCATGCATGGGAGATTTAGCTAAGAATCGAAACCAAACCTGTATGCACATGAGTGTGTTTCGACAACTATGACACACTTTTTGAATGGCCGATGACGTGTGGTGGTAATAGCTCATCAGAACGACTTACTTTGAAGGGGATTCACCCGGAGCTGATGGGCAAAAATCAAAAAGGAAAGCAGAAAATAATGATAACAATGTTAAAAAAATAAATATAAATAAGAAAAAGTTGATCTAAGCGGATACTGATTCGCCTTTTTGGTTAAAACATCCGTGAAGGACTCACCTGGAACCCAGCTAAATCTCTCATTTGTGATGTTTTCAGGCAGCTGAATATGCTTGGAAGATACTTGTAGGAAGCTACTCGTACATTATAACAAATACTATATATTGCAAGTGAAGTCAAACCATGCTGAAAGCTACAGAGTTATGTGCAGATTTTTCAAAGAGATTGGAACCCGCTCACTTTGAGTTCGTTTTTGAGGTTTCCGCCTTCCTGTCTGACAATGACTAACTCGCATTAAGACAAGACAGTGCTATTCAAATTATGTGGTCACACATCCGACTTCCATCAATAATACTGTCTCGGGTCTCATACCAGCTAAAACAAGAAGAGTCTTTGTGCAGACTGACCTGCGATTCATCTGAGTCCGCCGGTATAACCAAACTAGTGAGCAAACGAATGTATTTCACAAAAATTGTACAATTTGAGTCTAAGTAGTACGTGGGGTTGACAGAAACTCGGGGCATGAATTTAACTCAGTAACTCAAAGAAAGGCAAACCGGTCGTCAGTTGTCGAGGGGCTGTCGGCATCCTTGTGACTAGTTTCCCCAACAAACAAAACTCTGGAATACTTAACATCGTACCACCTGGAAGCCGGTCGTTGTGCAGAACCTTTGGTTAAAGAATATCATGCATGGGAGATTTAGCTAAGAATCGAAACCAAACCTGTATGCACATGAGTGTGTTTCGACAACTATGACACACTTTTTGAATGGCCGATGACGTGTGGTGGTAATAGCTCATCAGAACGACTTACTTTGAAGGGGATTCACCCGGAGCTGATGGGCAAAAATCAAAAAGGAAAGCAGAAAATAATGATAACAATGTTAAAAAAATAAATATAAATAAGAAAAAGTTGATCTAAGCGGATGCTGATTCGCCTTTTTGGTTAAAACATCCGTGAATTCAATAGTCACTTTATTCTGGAACAGATATTTTGTACCTTTAGCGCTTTTGCACAAGATACATATCCTCCAAAGACCTGCGATGAGCAATCTGTGTAAAGTACAATTTTGCTTTAATAACTAATAGTTCAACAGGCCCCGTACCTCTGAAAAATGAGCATTCTCCAGGGCCGAATTTCGTCATACAAACCAATGTCAAAGAATGCTGAAGTGATGAGAATGAGCACACATTGGATCCCTCCCCTAATTAGGCTTCAGTTACCCCTATTCGATCAACCATCCTTGATTACTGGTGCAGTTATCCAGGTCGCATCGTCCATTGCTTTGACATTTGAAATTCCCTAGGCTTTTTCCATCCCTATTTGTAGCCCTCGCTCCCCTTTTGTGTTTAGTGTGTGCGTGTGAACTGGCGTTTTGTTGTCCCCACCCCTTCACCCATTTGACCTTGGGGTCATCCAGCCATTTTGTAGCCGAACTTATGCACATGTGACTGTCTCACAAGGGAGCCTGTTTGCTTATTTGGTTCGTATTTTTTATGAACGAACGAATATGAACGAATATCCACTGTTGAAGTTTATATATTTTCTGAATTGATGTCTTCCATTAATAGTAACGTATAGAAACCCAGCCGCGACTTTATTTTGCCTTTATGAAGGTTCTGGTATTACACGTCATTCGAATATTCTGTTCAAGTGTCACACTATGTGACCAACACTAATGTCAGGAAGAACTGACAGCTAATTCTATGTAATTGGAGCATACAGCCACTGCGTGGCTTTGGCCGGACACCTAGCGGACACAGAAGACAGTACGTGAATCACCGCATCCAAGAAAATGGAATTGTTTACTTGCAGTTCGTATCCTAAATATCTCAAGATATTCGAAACTACAAACCTCGCATTCAACTACCAGCTGCACCCTAGATGAATCTCACCTCGATAGTACAAATGACTGAATATCCTCCATTTCACGTGATATGATAAAAACGAGACTAAAAAAGCCGTTTTATGTCTTCTAGTTGTGAACTGGTATGTCACATGCCAGTACCAAGCAACAGGAAACGAAAAAAGACGATGGCAGTTAGTCATGTGCCTTTGCCAAAGCGGGTGGGAATGTCTGTTATTTGGACACCATATCCCAGATTGTAACACTGTTGTTTTCAAAACTTAACGGTGCAGGAAATCGTAAAATAAGTCATATTTATGCTAAATTAGCAGTAAGCTAGTGAATTCTGGTGAAAGATATTTCACTCAGACCTATTCCTATCATTAGCATCATCATTCGGTTTTCCACTAAAATACCCTGGGGGATTTTCGTACATTTAAAACAATGCCATAATAAGTAAACATAAGCTGAAAAGACTGCTATATACGTGTCTATTCCTATCATTAACATCATCATTCGGTTTTCCACTAAAATACCCTGGGGGATTTTCGTACATTTAAAACAATGCCATAATAAGTAAACATAAGCTGAAAAAACTGCTATATACGTGTTTTATAAAAATATTCCTTCAAAAATATATTTTAATCTGTTTGAAAATCGGGTACATTCTATACTAAGTGACAGATTGGCGGTGTGCGCTAACTCACGAAACTGACGTTCCTGGCTGCTACCTGAATGGTAGGAATGAAAGATTTCTAGTTAGACTTAATTCTTCAAACGTGTTGTAATAAACTACCAATTCCCACTTACACTGTGCTAACAGGTTTTTTGATCCCGCGTCGGTGCATTAGCCCACACACCAACGAACTACAACGAAGCACCAATTCACCACGAAATGATGAGGCAGCTTGGCTAGTGATGAAACATTTTTAGCCAAAATTGCCCAACCCACCGAACAGGTCAATGACCATCTATGTATGCACTGACCATCCATAGTGATCCTGAGGTTATTCTAAACAATCGAAACATGCCATCTGAATGTGTCATCTAAGCGATCCGTAGTCAGTCTCTGCCACAGGTAAAACAATAAAAAAGAATCTCCCAGTAGACTCGTTTAAACAGCCCTCTTCTCCCGGCACAATTGTCTTGGTCTGTACCAGAAATAGGGATCACTGGGTCTGATTTGCGTTCCAAATGACGTATATCCCCAGCCATGCCAGGATTCGAATTCCAAACATGTGATATGTTAATTTCAAGCCCAAAAACGTGGATCGATAATATGATTCCACTCTGGATGCCAGTCCGCGAGTCAACAACAATTTTTCGCATAACTAAACTCTGTTATTCGACTAGGATTCTTTTACCTGAAGATAGATCAAGGTTAAGCCCATTCGCGCAGAAATCAGTTGATTTGCAAAGATGATAGTATTTTTAATGGGGTTCAACCTTCCCTCCAGAATTTTTCTTAGGAGATATAAGCCTGTTGGTTATGATAGTAGCAAGTTTGTTTGCACCAGTTTACCGGTAAACACGGATTGAAAACTCTGTTCTGACCTATCCAATTGACTCATCCATGATTTCTTGCTCTTCCATTGTTAATTGCATATTGGATATGGTTTGGTGTGATGCCTTTGGTAACCTACTTAAGCATGTTCTCATTTCCCATTGATCTTTCGCTACTTAGCAAATCCACAATACAGGGAGTCATTCGCAGTCAGATTGATGGATCAGCTACATTCTTCAGCATGGTTGGACTGCTCCCCACTTGCTAGTTAAATGGGCACGTCAAAAAGCAACTGTGCAACTGGCCACCTCGACATTCTTCAATCAGCCCACTCCTGGCCGTTCATCTTGCAAACCTGATAACCTGATGAGGATATACTGCCAAACTGCATGTTCTACCCACACAATTGAATAGTTGGCACAGTTGGAATTTACTTTTTCTTCTGCACAGCAACACAACGCAAGCAGAGGTTGAGATAGTCCCGTTTCAAGGAAAAAAATAGGCTACTTTTAGGGGTAACTTAATTGGATATTCCGCTTATTATATATAACCGGATCGAATTTGACTCAAAATTTGTTTTGAGCCATCTGTTGACCTGGAGGAATGATCAGCTGATTACCCGCTAGTAGTCAAAATTTTTTACTGTCCGAATTTAACCTAGGATCTGAGAATAACGAAGTTATGGACTTAAAACTTAAACACATGAGATTCAAGAGGCAGACGTATGGATATCGGAGCGCGGGCTCTTATGGACAACGTTTTCATGTTTTTCAAACAACTGTGAGAGTGGTTGCCGACTTGGGGAGTGTTTTCTTTTACTTAATCCTTTAGTTTTAGATTGGTGTTGCCAACAGGAGCCTGGTCACCTGAAAATAGCTCGGAGATACTAAAGAAAAGAGATGGAAGCAAGAATTTTACCAAGTTGATGAATTTTAATAAAGACGAAAGCCCAGCTTTTTGGGATGTGACCGTACCTTAACTAAAATTCATCAGAATTTTCAGGAAATCAGACAACTGATTAGAAAATCAGGAAAAGGAAGTCAAACATTTTGCCACGTGACAGTGAGACCTTCAAAATGAGAATTAAAATACGAGAAAGACGTCAAAGAATCCGAACGAATGTTTTAATGGTCTTCGTCTAGAGAAAATTTGATTTTTAAAGGTCAAATTTAAGTGGCGATGCAACCGGTTGTATTAGCATGGCGGTCATTATTATTTTACCACTCTTCATGGATGAGGTGAAAAGCGTGTTATCGAATCCACCAAGCGGTCAGTTTCCCATATTACGCTATGCAGTACAAGTAAGCACTCAGAGTCGAATTTCCCTGCTGAGCACTTGAAAAGTAAGTTTTTTTATTTCGCGGCATTCATTTGAGGTTGATTTACTCTGTCCAGAAGAAAATGATAGGAATATCCCCCTCAGAAGTTTTCTAGACTTCATCCAATCCATGACTTTTTTATTACCTATCAGAGGTGCACCTTCCAGAAACATAATTTGACGCGGTTTGAGCAAACTTAGGTTTTTTTGGGTTTCTGATCAGATAAAAAGCTCGGTTTGCCATATAAAAAGGTATGCAACGATTGCGACGTACAGCATGAAGTTTCAGCCAACCAACTTGAGGATATTTTTTTCGAACAACAACCTGATTTCTCGGCCCTCGAACCTTCAGGTATTATCAGACTACAATGCAGAAAACTGAAATAGAGCCATCCTGTTTCACTCACTCTGCTTCGAACCCGAGGATTTATACACTAGCGAGGCTAGTACAATCCAGAACACGCAGAACGGCATGAAGACCCACAAAGAGATAAAGCGCGTGAACGTTCGGGACCGGTGAGTTTCAAAACACATTATTCTACGGTCTTCCCACTTTATTACAACACAGTTCGGCCTGAAAATGAAAATAAAACGAGCAGATGATCGAAAGAACAAGTTTTGAATAGGAAATTCATCAAATGCACGGAAGAAGAAACATCTGGAAACAAGAATTATGAATGAAGCAGTTGTCTACACAAAGGCTTCTCTCCAGGAGCTAATCACGCCTGTTTTAAATTTGTTTGCGAACCCATGACCAACACACATGGATGCCCATATATATGACCTCGTTCTCATTGAAAGCGTATCTTCAGCAAGGCAACTGCCGTACTTGGCGAACAGACCAACAAATAAGCCTTCACAGTTCCACGTAGGCATTTAACCGATTTATTTTCACACAGCGGTGTGAATCACTCACTTCGCGATAGGCTAACTAGATATGTGGCCAGTTAAAGCGACCTTAACATCATCACCACAAGAGCAATGTACTTCAGACGACCGTCTTAATTTTGTGATTCATAACTGGTCACACCACAGCTAGGATCACGAGAGAATCCGGGAGAATTTTTCCAATTCTGACATGAGTTGTTCCGGCAAATTGCAGTTCCTTATGATAATGAATGCATCCGAATTAAGAAGGTATATTTCTTGGTAATGGAGAAAATTTAAGCCTTTTGAACTTCGTCCTAGAATAGCAGGTCAACGTACGTTGAAAAGTGGCTGGGCGCTCTTAGGTTGCTTCTTCAATGCTGCGAATCTCGAACAGCGCTCTCTTCATTGATTTTGAGGAAGGTTTGTGTACGCAACCTTGTGGATAACCACGGCTCATCCCGTTGTTCTGTTTATGCCAACGGACTGCATCCATTAGAAAGACCTATATAGCTTGGTCTCCTAAGTTTATTTCTGAGTGACACCATATCCTTTCGAAATGCAAGGCCATTATACTGTTTTTCTCCCTATGCTGGGAGTTGCCGTTTCAACCCTTTTTGGGAGTCGATTACAAGCTAACGGCTATTGATTACCAAATGGGATAAAGCATAATTTTTTACCTCGGAGTACTGACAGGCCCGTTAGTTTACTTTTGTGTATCAGGTGACCGAAGTTGCAGAATGGCTTGCAAGGGTTTCATCGGCACTCTGAATGATATCACCAACTTGCGAGCGAGTGCACACTGATTTCCACCTACCTGTGTTTACATAGCTTTTAAAGAGCACGGGATATATATTTTTTTGTGAGCTATCCTCTGCTTTTTTTGGTCCGACCGCAATCCATCTAAACAAATCAAAGACAGAAATTTTTAGGAACAGAAAATGCCAGAACATCTAAGCACATTAAATGACGACAGAACGCAACGTAACGCAAGTCGCTGGCGGACCATTAAAATCACGAGTAATGATCCTTCCGATTAGCCAATCACCAATCGTACTCTGAAAAACTACATAAATGCAGACAGATCGTGAAGATGTATCCGCTAGAATAGCGCTACTAATGTTTCCCCAAATGACGACGAAACGTTAGAATATAAGGATAGAATTGCCAAACTTTGAAGCTACCCGTGAAAGAGGTGCTTGCAGTTATCAAGTGAATTCGGTACATTGAGAAAGCATGAATATTGGTTGTTGATCAGGGGGCTGTTGATCTGTTTGCCGAGCTTGGCAATTGGCTTGCAAACGTTTCGTCAACATACGAGGAGACATCATCAGTTCGCACATCATCAGATGCGCACTGATGTTGTCTCCTCNAACGTTTGCAAGCCAATTGCAAAGCTCGGCGAACAGATCAACAGCCACCTAATCAACAACCGATAAACTCACCCAAGCTACCAATATTTCAACAAATTACCAAAGCATGGATATACATCACTGTTAACCATTTGGTTCACTGATTTCAAAGGAAGTGTCGAAATTCTACCCGGAAGTGTTTACATATGGTGCTGATATCTCTACTTCATCCCTGATTGGTCACAGTTGCAAATAGATAAGGAAACTGTAGTCGATTTTCCCAAGTCAAGTTTCTCACAAGGTTTTCAGATTGGAGATTTTAATTTAGTAGACAACACCCAAGTGAGGAACGTAATCCTGAAACACTGTACCCTGTGTGACTTTCACTATAGTTGAATGAAAAAATTGGATTACAGAGAAACTATCGTTGTGTGTGTAAAAAGTATACCCTAATGCTACTGTTACATCTGTCACAACCAAACAAAATCGCACTCGGGGATCTCAGAACCAGAATGGGGTCAACAATAAAGAAACCCTGTAAAACTCAATGAATTTGTCAATGTTTATTTGTCGGGATAAACTGAAATAAGAATCCAAATACACGAGTAAGCTTGAGCTCCATAATGTTCATCTCATCATGATTGCTGATTACCAAGGCTCAGAAATGGTGTAATTTACTCAGGAGAGGGCAGGTGTGCTTCGAGTGACGCAAAACGATTAGCTTTCTCCTTCTGCTGTTCCCAAACGAATACGTTAGTGATTCTGCATTATTTTCTGATGCTGGTCAGTCTGATCCTGCTCTTTTTCGGTTCGTTTGTTGTTACAGCAACTTTTCGCGCAATGACGTTTCAACCATCCCCGTCGCCGACTGTTAAATCACCTGGAAGTGTTAGGGAAGATGCGAAGACCAGCAAGTTACTGTGCAATGAGTGGATGGCGAAGGAATGCAATGGATGATCAACCAACCAATCAATAACGAACCGGAGATTCGATAAGCATTCGCACGTGTGATTGGTTTATTCGCTAATTCGTTTACCTGACATGAGTCAGAATGAGTCAGCAAGCGCCAGGGGGCACTTGTGTGAACACTGGACATCCCTCTTCTATCTAATATCAAGCAATAAGTTGGGTTTCACGGCATTGGGCATTCATTATGACACTGTTGCGGAGTGAATTGTTTCGTTGGCAAAGTCTAACTAATTTTGTCCGGCTACAGAAGAGGCGGTTTCACCAAAGAAGAGGTTGCAATAAGGGGAATTCTATCCGGGTAAAAATGCATCCTTTTTGAAGATGTTTTCCGAAAAGTTTCTCGGAAGCGAAACATTGTGCTTAAACTAGAAGCTTAGTTGCCGTCCACTTGCATGGCTACCTTTTTATATGACATGCTGTGCTTTGTAGGTAACAAATAATTCATAAAAGTGGACAAAGCAGAATTATATAGCAGGTTGTTGTTAAATTGGATGCTATGTTTGTTCCACTAGGGAAGAAGAAGACTGTATGGCTACGGAAATAATTGGGAGGTATAATTCTCCAGTTCCCACTGTTTCTCAACCTTATAAACAGTGCCGTCTGAATGCTCACATCTGAATTTATCTCGACGCGTTTGGTCGGAAGACTTTGATGTGTACCACGTTTACATAGTTTACCAGGGCACAGATAGTCTGTTCCACAAACTAAAGTCTCATTTTCCGTATTTATAAAACGTGCGGACACATAAGCCTAAATATTTGCATAGTTTGTGTTGAAAATTTACAGCTCCACTGAAAAGCATATGTTGTGAGAACGTTTGATGTGTAGGACCAACTTGAATTACTCAATCGTTTTTCAAGAAAGGCTGCTTTGCGGAGTGAGATGATGGCTTGGATATCTTCAACGCTGACGCCTAGTATACATCCTAAGATTCACTTTTTTAGACAGTATTATTAGTTAGAAGAAAAGGAGGAACTCTCGACAATTTTTCAGGGAAACAAAAGTGTGGAAATGAGCCTTGTAGAGACTTAAATAGGTGAGATGATGCTAAAGTACTTAATGGGAAGATCTAAACATGGCGTAAGAGTTGCAGAGGACGAGGACCGCTAATGTGGACGCGCATCCACCAAGCTCCGTAACTACTCACAAGTAGTGGAAACAGTATAAGGAAATTTGTGAGCTATGGCAGCTGATGACGAAATGGTTACCAAAGGCCTAAGGCGATCGAGACGAGTTACCAAATAACCAACTCTTAGCAGTGTATTCCGTCTATGTATGTATCGCGGCATCTCGAATATTGTGCCATCTGAAACATGAAGTGGCCTGGTGCAGCATACTCGTTTGTTTAAAAACAGACGAGAGATACGACTGGGTTCCAGGTGAGTCACCCGTCAAAACCAGATTGATAAGCAAATATGTGTATTTGTCAAAATCTGTGCAATTTCGGTTCAAATAGGACATACAGTTGACGGAAACGCGGGGACTACCTGATGAGCCTCAAGAACGGTGAAACCGGTTGTACGCTGCCGATGTGTAGTGTACTACGGTCCATACCCTTGGAATTGTTCTTCTACGAACAGTCAACCAAAATAAGCCTTGCGACCTATTAGACTTCCTTCGCACTGAAGGTAGGAGCGAGGACCTATATGAAAAATCCATATCACTTAACTTTGCAGCATTGAACGTAAAAAGTCAGTCGTTCCGTAGCTTTCGAATCAGTCGAATGTGATATCACTGAAAACATAAGCACTGAAACTTGATATCTGCTACAGGGATAATTAGGTAAGCGATACGTGTGTTCAGTGTAGGTTATGTTCTAGAGCTTTTCCTACTTGCTTGATGTTTTGCAATGTGTAATAACAGTGGAAAAACTGCGACAACCCTTACTTTATTTTGAGAATCAGAATTTGGAGGTACTGAGATCCTATTGAGACATTCCTGACGCGTCTGTTCGCTTGGTTTTATTTGACGTTATCACTAATGTCCATGACACAACTCTCGCATGGATTTTAGAGACCTCTCTGAGCGTGCTAGTTATAAGGTTGCAAGCATTGTATTTGCCCATACGTCTATGCTGTGTTCTCACGTTTCAATGTTTCGTTTAGCCAGCTAACTGCGTGCTTGACTAGTATGTGAACGACAAACAGTTTTGTTACATGTGTCTGTGGCAGTCTTTTTCGGGAGAGTGAAACGTCGTATCTGTCGTGATTGGGCTTTGAACGCAATACAACGGTTAACTTTCGAAAAGGGACCATCGGATATCCGCACGGATCATTCACAAGCTGAAGCCGTCTGGTTTTCATGTCATGGTTTGATATGAAGTCCGGAATCTCATTTCAGTGTCACGCGTTGAATACAGATGGCAGAGAAAATTCTAAGGAAACGG